GCAACAATTGAATTTATGAATCGTCCGCGTTGTCAATACAGTGATGCTGAATTTAGAGCAAGTTTTCCATTTCGGAAACATGACCTGAAATGGTATTTCCCTCGAAACACACCTGCGGCCCAAAAAGATGCAGAAATGGCTTTTCAGATGTGGCAAAATGTTTCAAACTTAACATTTACAATGGTTACCAATCCCACTCTATATCCTCCTGATATTACTATAACCATGGTTAGCAAGACTCATTATTTTAGCGCAAACTGTATGGGTAATGATGAATGTCCATTGACATTAGATGATGCTGGCGGCGTTTTAGGACATGCATACTTTCCTGACTCTAGCGGCACCTGTAGAGAAATCCATTTAGATATAAATGAACGCTGGTATTTTGGAAATAATCCTAATATACCCAAAAATCAAACTAGTTTTCTTATGGTGTTGGTTCATGAAATTGGACATGCCCTCGGCATAGCACATAGTGCTTCTCCGAATGCTATTATGTTTGCCTTCTATCAGCATGAGATTCGTGGTCTAGATGTTGATGATATAAATGCAGTACAATATCTATATGGAAGAAAAAACAAATATGATTCAATCCCAAAGTCTACCACCGCATCAGCAATACGAAAAACAACAACAACTATAAGATCTACAACTCGTAAGCAGCCGATCCTCAAAAATTTGTGTGATATTATTCCAGATTTTATGTTTTTAGCTATTGCTCCAGAGTTTTCAAATTACCGATTATATATTGCACATGATATGTTTATATGGAAACTAGACTTAAACGAAATGATTATCCCATCTCAGCCTGAACTTCTTGTCGATTATGTTCCTACAGAATTACGTCAATACACTTTACAACATATTTTCCAATCAACAAACGGTGACTTGATTACCATTGTGTCTCCAAACAACTATTTCTCAGCATCATTCCCTACCATTAAATTTCTTGATAATTTTTCAATTGATATACCCGATAGGGCTCGAATCAATGCTATTTTTCAATCAAACGCAGGACGGTCCTATACCTTTTATAATAATATGTCATATATAGAATTTTCTAACGATTTTACTGATGTGTTGAACAGAGGACGGATAAGAGACATATTTCCTGAATTACCTGAAGATATTTCTCTCGCATTTCGATGGATTGATGGCCATATTTACTTTTTCCGTCACGCAACTTACTATAAATTTAATGAATTTACAAGAAAAGTTGTTGCGACCGGACCATTTCATAGGACTCTATTTGGAGTACCATGCCCCAGCGAGGATTTGTTACATCAACTAAAAACTCTGTTATCTAAACTTGTATCTGTATATCATTAAAAAATACATTTTTCAGAAAGCTATGTTTATTTCGTATTCAGCCTGTTGTCAAACAAAAAAAAAAACAGTCGGTTCCTTCGACTCCCCACCCCCCCACCATCATTCTACTACATAAAGTTTCATTTTGAACGGTATCATCCTGTATAATAATAACAGTACATCGTATACAGGTTATGAGACATTCTGACCGACCGATCGACCGACCAGAGGAGCCCACCACGCTATTTAGGTCACGCCTTGCTATATACGATTTAACGATATACCGTCGGTCCATCGATCCGCTATTTTTCGATGCACCCCTGTATACACGTTCTGAATGCCCCCCGTAATCCACGCCAACACCAGACAGGTGCGACATCGGCGCCATCTATGCGCGAGATGCCCAACCCATCAATGGCAGCTGTCCAATGACACATAGATTCCGTTTGGTTTGTACAGCGCCAAACAAATCGGCGCCATCTATGCGCGATATGCCCAACCCATCAATGACAGGTGTCCAATAACACATAGATTCCGTTAGGTTTGTACACCGCCAAACAAATCGGCGCCATCTATGCGCGAGATGCCCAACCCATCAATGACAGGTGTCCAATGACGTATGACAGATGACGTTTTAACGCCATCTATGCGTGAGATGCCCAATGACGCATGACAGGTGTCCAATGACACACAGATTCCGTTTGGTTTGACAGCGCCATCTAGCGGCGGAATCCCCAACTCATGAATACAGATTCCGTCCAACAACCTGTCAATGGCGCGCGACGCCAGCGCCTCTGGTGGCGGATTTTGGAAGTTTTGAGACCGAATCCCCATAAGACATCTACTGGTTTACATGGTCTTTTAGCAAGAGGTAGGGTTTATTATATAAAACTATAAGCCAAAATAATCATATTAATAATAATTTTTGTTGCTAATTATTAAAAACTGCACATAAATACTGACTTATTAACATGTCACATGTTTTTATTCTGTATGCTTTAGTATCATTGAAGTAAATAGGGAAAGCTTGGGCAGTGAGGTGATACCCGGGAAAAAAAAAATTTTCGGTCTTCGGTCGAGTTACGAATCGGCTATCGTGAAAATTTGCATAGACTTATTCGTTTAATCTTGTAACGGTTGTAAAAGGTCCCACATGCTCCAGATAGCACATTGTATTTTTCCAACAGAACAAAGAATTCAATTTTCAAGGAAGGTATTGTGCGTATAATTCCATTTCTGTACTACCTATACCTTTATGAAAAATTCAACCCAAACTTACAGGACTTTCTCAGCCATACAAACGAGGAGGATGGAGGTAACGTTTTTGGTAGGAAGCAAGAAAACTTCTAGATAAATAACTTCCTGCAAAGTACCCATAACCTGACTTTCGTATTCGAATTTGAATCGGTACTCTACAAGAACATCGTAAGTCTCCTCATTTGAATTTTTCAGGAGACTATAAAAACCGTGTCACTGACAAATAAACCAGTGATAAGGTACTTTTTGGGCTTAGTGTAGTATTTGAGTTCTGAAAAATGACATTTCGATTAACATTCACAATATATTTATAATAATAATGAAACAAGTCCGAAATACTGTTTTTTAGCAGGACATAGGGTTAGTGGTATATATTCCAATTAAAAGTGTATGTGACTTGTGTAAGAATCATATTAGTCACATTTTTCATTAAATGACTTACTAACAAGATACGTTTTCAAACTTCACATATCTTGTTAATTTTAAGGTAAACATGGTGTTTCAAGTTCGATCCCCACCATTGGGATACGATACGAAGTCGCTTAAATAGGGGCAAAAATGCGTTTTTACGTAGCCAGCAAGATGTCGATTAACATGTTTCGAAATCGAAACTACTTCCGCAGAGAGACGGAAAAAAACCGAATTTTTCCAACACGATTTCAATTTTTTGCCGGCTGAATTTGTAGTGGGATTTAAAAATAAATTGCACAACAACGTTGCCACTTTTTCTCATCTACAAAATGATATAATTAGAATTTCAATATGACATTTTGTCTCCTGTCTCGCAGCATTAACCTCCGTTTTATGTATAATGTGTCTCATACATTGACATCTCCAAACCTTAATTATTCCAGAAAAAGAGAAGTTCCTAGGTAGGCCTTGTTATTATCAGATTTCATTTATTTCGTATGCCAGACCAGACCTCAAACTGAACATGGCAACAGAGTTTGGAAGTCAGAAGAGGAGAAATAAATCGAACAACGTATAGAGAAAAGTCTGGCTTTGCTTACAAAATAATTGACATTCTGAAGATCTGCTATGATTTACCTTTGCAAATTTGTGATTATTATTGTTATTACTAATAATAAAGGACGAAACTTCATATTCAAATTCTAATTATGACGTCTTGTAGAAGAGAAAAAGTGGCAGTGATAATATGCAAGTTATTTTGATATCCCACTATTAATAAAGTCAGAAATAGATTAAAATGATTTTGGGAAAATTCATTTCTTTTGTCTCTGTCCGGAAGGAGTTTGAATTTTTCTAAACAGCATTCTGTTAGTTACCTAAATACCCAACTCTGCTCACATTTAAGCGACTTCATATCTCTCAGGATGTCCAGGCGTGTCAATGAGTGTATAAGAAATCGTAAATCCTCAACACATTATTGAACCAGCTTCTGCAGTCAGTTGACGAATCAAGCTGAAAATCTAATCATGTGCTACGTTACATGCATACATGCCAAAAATTATTAAAATCGGATGAACAAACGTAGGTGATTACCTTTTTTTGTCACTCAGTATACATAGACTGCTTCGTTCAACTTTCTTTAATAATCCGTGATTAGCTGTAGGCATCAAAACGAATTTTTTCAGTAAAAAATTGATATTGCAAGACAGGCAGCAGCGGTGGCCGCAGACTCTTCGGTCTCCTGATCAGTCGCCGTATGCTGTGCGGGTTCGAGTCCCGTCCCAGGAGAAATTTTTCTCTTGGCTATGGATGTTGTGATTGTCCGTAGGTGGTAGACGGTCTTTGACTGTCGTACGTGGAGGTACCACCCGGCGGATCTCGTAGGCGGAGCCAGAGTGTGTGCATGTTGCATGCACACGCGTCCCCCCTTTCCCCTGTACCCCCCTATAGCCCCACGGTACCCAATGGGTGTTTAGGCCTTAGGCCTTCGTGGTAGTTGGAGTATAAAAAAAGGTGTCGTGTGCGCTATTCAACTTTTTTGGTCATACAAATGAAATGAATCAATGGTTTTGGTAGGAAACAACAAGACTCCTTAACAAGTGGTTTTGGGCAAAGCAGATAAGGCCTCTGTAATCTGATTTTTGTAGTGAGTAAATTCAAAATTGATTTTCTAATTCTAACGTTGTCAATCCGAAAATTTATCAGCACGACGTTTAAGTTGCTGATTTCTGTATCAAATGTCGCTGGACCGCTATTAACTTAACAAAAACGCAGTTTTGAATAAATCTAGAGGGTGTCGTAAAGTTCACGTAAGATTTAAACTGAATATAATAGTTTCTCTTCTTTAGATTGTCAGTTTTTTGCCGAACCATAAGGTAGGGCAGAGCGGGGTCTTTTGAGCCGCGGGGTCACGTGCGCCACCTATAGTATCACTAACACGCTGCGCATTATATACAAGTTGGCAGCATTAGACGAAGTGGGGGGGTGAGCAAACCAAGCCCACGTTGCTTTAGTCACCGGCCGGCGTTCGTTCTGGATGTGAGTGCGTGATGTCGTAAATTTGTTGCCAAAAGTAAAAAATATCGCTCCACTGAATTTTGGGCTATACATTACAAGTATCATCGAATGGTATTCAAGTAAGTGTATTTTGCTTTCAATGTTGTTACAGTTAATGGCTGTTGTTACAAAAGTAAACTATTTCCAAAAGGTTTTTAGTTATGAAACCATATTTACGAGAATTTAGGAAAGGGGTCATTTGAGCCAAAACGAAGGGGGTCGAGTGAGCCATGTTCAAGTGACCCCTCACTTTTGTTGTGATGTTTGGTTTTACTGTTTACAACATGCTATATGTAATATGGTTAAATACTATGCCAAACCATTGCTCCGTAATTATGTCGTATGCTTGAATATTGCTACATTGTTTTTTTATTTCAGAATGCGAACTTACAAAAGAAAAACTGACCGAGCTCATATTAGTAAAGATTTGATAAAACAAGCTGCAAGTGAAGTAATAAATGGTACAAGTATCCGTAAAGCAGCTAAAAATAATAAAATAGACAGAACCACGCTTTCGAGGTATGTCAATAAATTAAAAGCTACCCCTGATTCTGATGTGTTCATGGAGTATGCAAACCCTCGCCAAGTTTTTTCGAATCAACAAGAACGCATATTAAAAGACTACCTCTTACAAGTGGCATCTATATTTTATGGTTTAACTCCATCGGATGTACGTTTCCTTGCTTATGAATGTGCCGTTAAATATAACCTACGAGTACCAGAAAATTGGCATACAAATAAGCAAGCTGGAAAGGATTGGCTAACCGCTTTTCTCAAAAGGAACAGTGCACTATCTATTAGGAAACCAGAGGCGACCAGCTTAGGAAGGGCGACATCATTTAATAAAACAAACGTCAGTCTTTTTTATGAAAAACTGGCCGCAGTAATGGACAAGTATAAATTCTCACCTTCCAGGATATGGAATATCGACGAGACTGGTGTTCCAACAGTCATGAAACCGGGTAAAATAGTAGCAGCTAAAGGAAGGCACAACGTGGGATCTGTAACGTCAGGAGAACGTGGAACTCTTGTTACTGTAATTGGAGCTGCATCAGCAATTGGAAATACAATTCCTGTTATGTTTATATTTCCTAGAAAAAGGTTTAAAAACTTCTTTGTAGCAAACGGACCACCTGAATGTATAGGACGCGGGAATGGAAGTGGTTGGGTTACTGATGACGAGTTTTTTGATTTTATGAGACACTTTATAAACTATGTCAAGCCATCACCAGAGTATCCAGTTTTATTATTATTGGATAACCATTCGTCACATCTAGCAATTAAAACAGTTGAACTTGCCAAGGAAAATGGGGTGGTCATGCTCTCATATCCACCCCATTGTACCAATAAACTACAGCCATTGGACATATCTGTTTACGGACCTTTCAAAACATATCTTTCATCGGCTCATGATGCATGGCTTCGTAATAATCCAGGTAAAACGATTTCAATTTATGAAATACCAAAATTAGTAGCATCAGCTCTACCGTTGGCAATGACCCCGACTAATATAATGAGTGGATTTAAGAAAGCAGGTATTTACCCTTTTGATAGCAATGTTTTCTCTGAAGAAGACTTTATGCCATCATATGTGACTGACCGTCCAGAGTTACAATCTCAAACACAAGAACTCCCAATAGCAGAAACAATTGGTACGGATGATGGGCTTGAAACAAGAGCACCTTCACCAAGTATTGAGGTGGAAATAGAAACATCTGCGATTTTGTCATCGCCCGTTTCTGTGCCAGCTACCTTGGAGTCGGCAATTGATAAGGAAAATCAAAAACCAAATGATATTCCGTCTACGTCTAGAGATATTCAATTTTCACCAGAGCTTGTGAGGCCATTACCGAAAGCAGGACCCAGAAAGCAACAAACACGAAGGAAGAAGAGAAGCTGTGCAATTTTGACAGACACTCCGGAAAAAGATGCGCTTGCTTCACAACAACGTAAAAGAAAATCAAAAACCAGCATGAAGATAGAAAAGTCCAAGAAAAGGGCAGTGAAGAAAGCAATTCTTATAAGCTCCTCAGAATCTGATGGAGAGAGTCACTCTGATAAGAAAATTCATAGAAAGCTTGGTAGGAAAAATAAGAAGACAAATATAAAAAAAAGACAACTTCCATCAGACACTGAAGAGGATGATTGTTTTTGTCTAGTGTGCACTGAGTCCTATTCAGACAGTCTTCCAGGAGAAGAATGGATACAGTGCTCCAGTTGCCGAGCATGGGCTCACATCAATTGCACTTCTGGTGTCAATACTGTGTATATTTGCATGAACTGTGACAGTGACTAAACTAATTACCTAAATCACTTTTCTTGTTATTTCTTTAACTTTAATTTTATTTCTATGAGACGCCTTAGAAATTCGATTAGGTATTTCATAATTTTTACGTGCAAATGTTTGTTTTTGTTTCTATGAATAGTTTTAGAAATTTTGTTACGTTTCTGTTTCTATATTCCAGAAGTTTTAAAGTGTTAAGGTTTGAATAACGCATTGGCTCAAGTGACCCCTTTGGGTGGTTCACTAGACCCCGCCTGTGGGGTCTGATGAGTCATATGCCTCATCTGATTATATTGTAGTTTTTTCAAATTAAACAACGGATATGCCAAAGTATTTTGATCCTATAATGCGGTCAAGTAAATAAATGACTGATTTGAGATTAACTCGTTGCTATTTACTTCTTCTGACTGATCCTACACTGACTTGAACAAAAACCTGATCAAGTGACCCCGCTCTGCCCTACACATGATACTGCTGTACAGACTTGCATGTCAAGGAATAGATTTCTTACTATCCTTGCAGATGACACACATCCTTTTGTCGGTATTCCTCATCACTATTTTACATAAATGCGAATAAATTTCGTGAAGGGCAGCGTTGAATTTCCTCTTTCAATGTACGACGGTCTGTGGGCTTATTTGCATAGACTTTGGACTTTAGAACCCCCTATAAATTCAATCGTACCAAATTAAATAGACATTTGTCTTATGCAGCAGCTGAACTGTTTCATGGGCTGGGCAGCATGTGACACTATCCTGATGAAACAAAAAATTTGGTGGGTCAATTCCTCTTGCTTGAAATTGTGGAATATCCTTTACAATGGGCACTTGTTTTTAGAATGAGAAAATTTCTCATCATAGCTATCAGCTCATGTCGTACAAAGTTGCTGAGCATGACGCATATAACAAGAAATATTGGAGAACTACTCTCGTAGCAAAATAACTCTATGTCGATGCTTATTTTAGGCTTAAATGCCCCTTGCTTACTTTAAGTTGAAACGCTGTCGCTGTTAGCTGGCGCAGAGTTGTAATTCTGGTTATTATTGGATTATCTAAATTGTCGCCATGATGTGAGAGATAATGCGGATGCATTTGTACAACGTTCCAGGGAGTTACGTGTCTCATCGGCCACAGCGTGAAAATGCATATAAAAACGTATTGTAGGTCATGCAAATATACTACCGATAGTATTTTTCGTGTTTTAACAGTACTAGCGACGCAAATATACTCAATAATGTGATAAAATTGTTGTTATTCATTGCTACATATACAATTACCTTTAAAGCTACTACACACAAGCCGGCGGCAATGCCGCCGGGTTTATGCCGAGCGGCTATGCCGTCGGCAATACAAGCCGCCGGCACAAGCCGCGCAAAGCCGCCAAGCATCATTCCGGTTGTGACAGTCACATAGAACGCTAGTGAAATGCATATTTTATGGTTGGTTGGTTAAAATGAATAAGGAAATCATCAGCACAGCCGCCGCAGTTGTAATTTTTATTTTAATAAGAAAAAATAACAAAGGATGAGAAGGTTTTGGTTGCACCCAAGTTTACAAAATAGAAAATGGCGAAACGGTACTGTAATGATAGAAGAGTATAAAAAAGATGATGTGGGGTGTCAGCGTTTGCGCAATAGCATGTTTTTGGGGTTTTTGCACATCGTACTTCTTTTTTTCCCGAAAATAATACAAGGTTAAATTTTTTAACTTTCTCTCTACTTCGCCTTTATCAATGTCAAATACACTTGCAATTATGTTCAATGCGTCCATTCGATTGTTCCTATTCGTATAGTCTGCATTTCTGGGATTCCATAGTATATCATTCACATGAAATTTTTCAATTAAGAGCAGCACAGCTTCGTCATCCCAATTAAACGACATTTTAATTTGTTTAAACACACAAACCGCACAACACTACCTCTCGAATGCCAGGAACGAAGTGACGCCGGCAAGCCGCGTAACCCGCCGGCACACCCCGGCGGCAATGCCGGCGGCTCCTTTGCGCGGCAAGGCCGGCACTGTGTGTAGCAGCCTTTACATGGCAGCACCTGTAACACAAAAAAAGTTACAAGGTCGTTTTCAGCATAAACCGTGGAATCACATAAATAACGTGATTCTACCAAATTTTAGATTTCTCTCTTTAAGATCCCAGGACATAAAAAAAGGCTAGTTGACCAGTGGCGCCAAAACTATTTCTAGGTTTCTTAGTGTAATTGTGAATGTGTGCGATTTTATCATTTTCATAAAGTGAAGAGACAAGTGAGCATTCATGGAAACCTTGTGCTTCTTTTCAAATATGCTCCGTTTTTTACTTTTTATTGTATAAAGAACTTGAATAAGTTTGCGTTCAAACTTAGAATGTAAGTTTGGCATACTGCTTTATTCACATAGGCCGTATAGACTATTAGTGCTTAATGCGAATTGTGCTAATGACTCATCTTAAACAAAGGTTTGCGATGACTGTTTTAACCGACTGTTTTTATTTTTGCCACTGATTTTCAAAATAAAGCTATTTTCATGTAAGGTACCTGTACCAAATAAGGAAAAGCACCTAATAAGACCATGCGTCGATTTTAGAGGGACTATTAACATGTAAAATTAAAGATTTCTGCAGTTATACAAATTTATTGAGAGCAGTTACCAACCATAAATTCAGCAGCTGTGGAGCGGCGCTAGATGGCGCAGTAGGACAGCGTCGGTTTTCAACATGTGCCTTATAAAATTTCTGCTTTAAATTTGTCTCCGTTTTTGCATGTTGTCGGCTTCTTTTTGCGAAATCTCTTGTTAGTTCAATCAGGTAAGTCTATAAAGCATACGCAGGTAGTTATTTGTTGTTGCCAGGTTTTGAATGTTTTCAATTTTTAAATTGTATATTTAAGGTTAGATATGAGCAATAAGGCCATGTTAAATCGTTCTCATTACGGCCACTTGGCTCTATTAGGAACACACTGGCCTTTTATGGGTGATATTTTTTTTTCAGAAACTATAATCGAAAGATCCCTTCTAAGAAAAGGGCACTAAACAGTAGAATGTCGGTAAATCGTCCATGCAGAGAATACCGAATTCCACGAAGAACACTTCGCAATCATGTACGTACGGGCATGCGAGAGACAGAAATGCCACTTACACCGAGGATTTTGCAAAAATCCGTGTTTCCCTATGTTAATAACAAAAAAATTCGTCAAACATTTAATGAAAACAGTGGAATGGCAGCTAGAAAATGGTTGAAGTTGTTTTTGGACAGACATGAAAATATTCGCCACAGGAAACGACTACTTTAAAAACTAGAAACTTTGCTGGTTAAACTAATCTGAATAAACCAGCCCCATCGCATCTATAATATAGATGAAAAAGGATGCAGACTCACCATCTACCGCCATTCAAATAGCATCGACGGGAAGGCAAAATCTAGGATTCTGTATGATTTTAAGTATTATTTTTTCGAACAAGTGATTTTTTTACTTGAAATCTATCTGGATTCAAGAATTATTTATTGTTGTTAATTAGAAATATAACTTTGTTTATTCGACAGTCCTGTTTTATATTTTGAGAGTGGCTTTATTAGAACCAGAACATGGCCTTATTTGGTTACGTGGTTTCCTAATAAAAAGCCAACGGTAGTGTCTCAAAAAATATATATCTTTTGTATGAAAAAAAAAATTTCTCGGAGCTCTCCGATACAGCATATTCACTAAGCATACGTATAATAATACCTTTAAAATTTCATCATCGTTTCGCAAAAATTTATGAAGTTACGGCTATCCAAACGTTAAGGTGGTTGGTCACGTTTCTTTATTGTATTTTTGGGGCCGCTGATTGAATTTTTGTGATGGTCTGCAGTGGTAGATAATTCAACAATGCTATTATTAGGTTTTATGGACTTTGTACCAAAAATTTACAAATTTTTTTTTGGCCCAACTTTCGTAATCTTATTTCCATACTTTTCTGAAAAGTATTAATGCGGCCGAGCTCAAATTTCATGTCCACATCAACTTAAAGTATGTTAATATCACGAGCCCATTGTTTTTTGAAAAAAACGTTTTTTCGGGCGATATTATCTGTTACCTTTCCTACCAAACTTTTTTGTCACGTCTTGGGTGGCTCATGATATGTAAACCATGATATCCTGTCGATACGTGAAAAAATGTTTGAGATTGCTCAAAAATTGAACGAGATAATATGAAAATACAAAGAAAAAATCTATTCAAGCACGCCTGCCACCCGCTCCACCCATTTACCGGAGCCAAGCTGTCAAGCATCTCGCCGTATGCAACCTGGTTGCCAGATTGTTGCCAACAAGCAAATTTCAGAATTTTTTTTTTGAAATTTGGATATGTTATAATATAGTTACTGTGACAACCTATGACGACACTCTAAATATACGGAGAGATGCGGAAATTTCGACTTCCTAATAACAAATGTAAATATTTTATAGTTGGAACTGCTTATATAATGATAACTTATTACATTGACCAGTAAGAAGCACTTTGTTAGAAAAGGCAAGTCTCATTTCACGTGCATATTTTATAATACTTGGCTATGACAGTGCTGATTATATTATGCACATATAAAATGCGATGCTGTAGTAGATATCGTACGTATTACATAAATGAATCATGCCATACGTAACCTTTTAGTGATGATTCTATCCCATCTTGGGCGAGCTTTTTTCTTCCTTATTCTATTTTATTTTTCATAAAATACTAGATCCTTTTATTTTTTGTATAGTCCAGCTACCACAAACGCCTAAGGCCTAAACACCCATGGGGTATCGTGGGGCTGTAGCGAGATACAGGGGATTTTAGGGTCGATTTGGGAGGGGCTATGGTTCAATGCAGGGTTTAATAACTGATCTGATACCTAGCGGATTTGAAGTCTCTTTGCGGAGTGATGTATTCCCTAAACGTGGCCTTATTTGATACAGGTGCCTTACTAGGACTGATTTAATTCCCACTAAAATTTGAAAATCACGTCGCATGTTGATATGGTTCAGTAGGATCACATTAGCTCGTA